ACCATTGGTCCTTAAATCTATCTTCATCTTTTGTTGCGACCATCAACATCGTCTCTTATTCTTTTTCTTCATGTTTTGTAAGCTTTGCATCACTTTCTTGATTCTTTCGTTTTTCTGGACAATCACTCGAATAGTGACCATACTTCTGACAATTGTAACTTGAATGTGACTCTTATCAGGTTTTCGACCACCACCTCTTCCTCTATTTGCAACACCACCTCTTTGGTTGCCTTGGTATGGTCTTCTTTGATTCGACACGTCTCCTTCGATTTGGTTTCTTCTACCATTCGATTTGTTGTAGCCACCTCTACCTCTGTCGAAACACTTTCCTTTGCCTTTGGTCTCTTTTACTGCATGTGCCTGCAAGGCCACATCACTCTTCGATTTTCCTGCAGCTCTTTCGTTCATTCTTTGTTCATGAGATTCGAGCGTCCCTTGAAGCTCTTCCTTTGTTAATTTCGACAAGTCTTTTCCTTCTTCTATCGCCACCACTATGTGGTCGAACTTAGGAGCTAAAGATCTCAAGATCTTCGACACAACAACTCTTGTTGTTAACGCTTCTCCACATATCTTGATTTGATTTACTAGTTTTGTAACTCTAGTGAAGAAATCAGATATGTTTTCACTGTCTTCCATCTGAAGCAGTTCATAGGTCCTTTTGTGAGTTTGTAACCTCACTTCTTTCACCTTCTCAGCGCCTCCAAAAGACTTCTCAAGGATCTCCCAAGCTTCTTTTGCAGATTCTGAATCACTAATCTTTTCGAAATTGTCTGGGCTGACACATTGATGAATTATAAATAATGCTTTATAACTTAGCTTCTCAGATTATGTGTATTTCTTCTTTTCTTCTTCTGAAGCATTTTCGCCAAGCGCTTCGACTCCATCTTTTACAAGGTCCTAAAGACCTTGACACTTTAATAAGACTTTCATCTGTTTGCACCAATTCTCATAGTTGTCAACTTTCAGAATTTGTAGCGTTGCTGGATAGTTTGCATTCCCATAACTTGTCATCGTGAATTCTTCAATCTTTCTTGATTGACACTTCCCTTGGATCGAAACAAAAGCTCTTGATATCATATGTTGGAAATCCACCAAATACTATGATGAATTTCGACCACAATGATGATTAGTTATGAGAAAAACAAATAAAAGAAGACAAGATAAATATTTCTGCAGAGTTTCTCTCTGCCCACAAACTGTGGAAAACTTTCTTAATCACTTGCAACTGTAAATTCTGTGATTACAATTGTCTTGCTTGACTTTCTTATAAAAAATAGGGGTTACTCCCTCTATTTATAACTGAGCTTACACCCTAAGCCCAAGGCCCAAAATATCTTTTTGTTACTAAATCAAATCTAATCAAATCTATTCTAGACTTAAATCAAATCTATTTAAATCTAAAACAAATCAAATCTTCTTTGACACATATGAATTACAATTTAACAACATGAACATGTTGCAAATATGGAAGAGAAAAAAGAAAACAACCTTAATTCCAACAGCGATAATGGAGGTGCAATGGTGGCGGTGGAGATTCGTGCATCATTGATGGTGGTCGTCGAACAACGCCGGGTTTGTCAGTGATGAAGGAGCGCGGTTGCTCGTAGGTGGCATGATTGGCGGCTAGGCAGAGGTTGATGCGTCGTCGGATCTGGGCGACTGTTGTATGATCGGTGGCTCGATTCAGGATCCTGTTCTTATTTTATCTATTTTCTGCAAAACAACAAAAACAAAATTGTAAAAGTGATTGTGTTTTATGTGTCGACGAAATTTATGATGAGAATGGTTGGAATTGTTAATTTCATAGCTTTTGTTTGTGAAAAAAACTATTCACAGGTTAGTGATTAGTGTGGTTATTGATTAACAAAGATGATGATGTATCCAAAAAAATTTAGAACAGTAACAACACGTGAGGACATGATGAGGTCACGGTGTTTTTAACTAAAGGTGTACAAAAGTGTGTACGTGAAAAATGGTTTACAAGGTGTGAATTTTTGTTGGTCAGAAATTGCTCTCCTCCAATGTAAAATTTGGACTCTATTTATAACAAAATAATAGGTAAAATAAAAAAGGTAATAATCAAATAATTAACTAAAATTAAAACCAAATTTAATTTGATTTCAAAATTTTAATCAATTATATTGATTTCTTCCTAAAAATAAAAACTATTCTAAATTAAATATTTTTAAAATCTTTTTTATTTTATAATTTTTTTGGTTATTTATAGAATAAAAATTGAAAAATGTAAAAAAATTATTTTTTGAAATTTCGTTAATTAGAAAATACGAAAATAATAAATGAAAAACGAAAATTAATATTAAATAATTAAAAAAAAAATTCAATTTTGCCTTTTTTTCTAATAAAGAAATAAAAGAAAACTTAAAGTTAGTAAAAAAAAATGTTTAGAATGTCAAAGATGAGATTCAAACCCACGATCTTATATTTACAAGTTTCATTCCTTATCAATTGTGCTATATTACTAATTCGAAATAAAAAGTCAGTCGAAAGTACATGAAGATGAGCAAGTATTTGTTATTTAAAAATACAAATAATTTAAAATAAATTATTATATTTTTAACTGGACTTGAGAACGAATAAAAATCAGATAATCTTATAAAAACCAAGTTTAAAATATATTCTTTTTATTGTAGAAATAAAGGGCGGGCAAATTTGGGGTATGACAAAACTCAAATTACAGCCTCTCAAAGTTTCTGTCAGACGCCTCTCGCCCGAGGCTCGCCTGGCGAAGCAGATCGCTCACCTGAGGCTCGCCCTCCGAGGATGGGGTGAACCATGTTCCCTCATATAAATTCCAGGAGCTCATGTTTTTCTTCATTTTATTCGCCCGACGAATGCTTGCTTCGCCCGACGAGCTCACACTTGTCTCTGATTTGCCCAGCGAAGCAGGAGCGAATCACCCCTACATACAAATTAAATAATCATGCCAAAACTCAACTCTCCCTCTCGCCTCCCTCTAACCTGGCAAGGTCTGGGCGAAAGCTATTTCGCCCGACGACTGGGTGGTTCGTCTGGCGAGACTGCACGAACATAGTTTTCCTGTTGCGATTTCCTGTACGAAAACCAATCCTAAGTCTTGCAATTTCAACACAGAACACACCCCAATTCACCACAAGTACTCTTGTTTTCATCATACAATAACAAAACATCCTATTATACATCATATACACCAATTCATGGTAAAACAACATCACTTATGCATCACTTTTCAACAAAATCATCATACTATCATCATCAATCAAAATCCCAAAAACAACCTACAATTATCTAAACCTTCTATCGATTATAATAATAACGACAACTCCCCTTACCTTAGATTCCTAGCAGCAATTCTTGGTTCTCTTCCTCGTGTTCTATCAATCTCTACCTCTTGCCTCTCTATTCCCTAGCTTCTCTTCACTTCTTCTTCCAAATTCTCACGATTGCACAGAATGAGACATTGACACTCTTTTTCCTAGTTTAACCCTTGAATCCTTTCTATGGCCTTCCCATCTTACCCTCACTTATCCATTCACAAATTACCACTTTGTCCTCAACATCTATATTTCATTTTTATCTCTATTTATTTAAATAAAATAAGTCTAATTAATTACTTTAATGATCTATATAATGATTCTACTTAGTAATTTTCTCAAATATTATATTATTCTAATTATCACCTTAATTCATTCTACCCCATCACACACCACACGATAATATCACATCAGGCATCATGATCATCAAGACATCACATATACTCATAAGGACTTCACATGAAATAACATAATTCATATAACAACACTAAACCAATTAAATAACTAAATAAATAATTAATTTAGATTCGGGGTGTTACAAACATGACTAAAAAGAGAAGGTTCATGGATAAGATTCTTCTGGAAAAAGGCAGAGAATGAACAGGTCGCCAAAGAAGAAAAACCCTTAAAGGATGAGGAAGAGAAAGAGTTATTCGAGGCTTATGCCATATTTGGAGGCACGTTCCTCGAATGGGAAAATGTTCATGTCATTATGAATGTGAATGCAAAAACTTTTCAATGTTTTGACGATCTTCTCATTGATACCCATTAGAAAGAAGAAGGTATACGAGGAAGAAGCCGACCATAGATCGTATATGAAGAAAGTCATGAGGAATGGAGGTTGCCCGAGTTTATAAAAGTGGAATTTAAAAGTTTTTTCAATTTCGAACGAGCCTCATGCAATTTAGTGAGTATGAGATTGGGGGAGATAATGACCCGTGCACTAAGAGAAGACTAGAGACTTAAGAAAAAAATATGGTCTCCTTTGTTATTTTTCGATAAAGAATATGTCAACTAAATCTCAAACCATTATATCCCGCTCCCATTGAAAGCGGTCATGACGAACTATAGGGTCTTCAAATTCTTAGTTAACCAAAAAAGTTTATTTGATATCATGTGCACTGAATAATTAGACACTCAATAATTATTAAAAAAGAATCTAATACGTTAAAATAGTTACAATCTTAAATCTTAGATACATAGAGTTAATGATAGACGAAGCCTTATAAAATCATCTACCATTTTATTTTTATTAAATAAAATCGAATATATATATCAAATGTCACCATAATATTATCAAACAAATTATTTTTTAATGTAGCTCATTAGTATTAGAAATTTTACTTTTGATAAGAGTACAGACAAATAAATTATATATCAATGATTTCTTTCAAGTCCTCTGGGATATAAAAGTTATTTTTAAACAAAAATGTTTCAGTTGCTTCTATTTTTTTATAATAAAATTTGTTAAAAAGAAAAATAGTGTAAATTTAATGTGAAAAAAAAAACTTAAAATACCATCTACAAAAAAAATCAAATTTAAACAATAGGAGAAACAATTTTGTGTGTGTTTAAAGCAAAAGAGAAAAAGCCTATCTTGTTTGTTCTCTCCCGAGGAAGTATCTCGAACTCAAACAGAGCAGTGAAACAAAACAACAGTTTCAGTTTCCTGTATCCCAAAAGAAGAACATGTTGGCGTCCATAATCCCAATCCTAACACCCTCTTCCAACCTCAACCCTTCCCATTTCGTCCCCTCAATCACAACAACCAGAGTCTCATTCCCACAATCTTCTTCCTCTTTCAAACCACACTCAAAACTCCCTCTATTTCCCAGGTTCAGTCGTAGCTCCAACAGTAATAATGCTCCCGACCCCGCCGTCGGTCCCGCTTCTCCGGTGAGTAACTTTCAACCCTTCATTTGTGGATTGTCTATTTTTATTATCTATATTATGAAATTATGAATTAGACAACTATTGAATGCTTGAATTTTGCTTTCAGGAAATTGATGAAGTAGAAAGTGAATCATCATCTGAGTTTGGTGATAGCTATGTGGCCTTGTTTGTTCGTATGCTAGGCCTAGATAATGATTCTCTTGATAGAGAACAGGCTATAATTACTCTTTGGCAATACTCACTTGGTGGAAAGAAGTGTATTGACAATATCATGCAATTTCCTGGCTGTGTTAATCTTGTTGTGAATCTCCTTAGATCCGAGTCAAGTTCGTCGTGCAAGGCTGCTGCAGGCCTTCTGCGAATGATATCTTCCATTGATCTATATAGGAATTCTGTAGCAGATAGTGGAGCTATAGAAGAGATAAATAGATTGCTAGTACAATCTTCCTTGGGTCCTGAGGTATTATAGGTCTTATTATACATTATACAACAACTTTGGTGACTCCATGTTTTATGTGTGTGGAAAATTGAGAGTGTTTGAAACTCTTTTTTGCAGGTAAAGGTGCAGAGTTTGAATATGCTGTGGAACTTATCTGTTGACGAGAAGCTCCGCGTTAAACTTGCAAAGAGTGATATTCTTTTGTTAGCTATTAAGTTCCTTGATGACGAGGATATAAATGTGAAGCAAGCTGCAGGGGGTGTTTTGGCAAATCTAGCGTTGAGCCGTGTTAACCATGATATCATGGTTGAAGCGGGTATTATTCCAAAATTGGTGAGACATTTGACAATGGTTACTCTGAAATATTTACATGTTGTTACTAGTTTTACTTGCTGATATATCAGCTTATGTCATTGTTGTTAAGATGAGTTTTGCATGATACACGGTCATTTCTGTTTTTGCACCTAAAATATTGTGCTCGTAGGATGATATGATTGTTGACATGGTATCATAGCCTGATTGAGAAGTGGTGAGTGGAAAATATGCTGAATTGTATGTTAGTTTCCTAAAACAATCAATGTTTTGGGACAAAACAAAAATTTAAAAGACCAAAGATTAGGGACGAAGGGGGTAGTTTATATTAAATTTACTGATATTTTAAATTCCATTGTTCTAACCAAAGATCCTTTCTCTTGATGCTTACGATATTCCAAAATGTGATGAGTTTTTATCTTACAATTCAGGCGAAGTCCTTAATATCTGACTCTGAAGGATCTCGAGTCATTATTACAAAGGAAGCAAGGAATGCATTGCTGGAACTCGTGAAGGACGACTACTACAGAATTCTAGTTATTGAGGAAGGTTTAGTTCCTGTGCCATTAATAGGTGCCGCGGCCTATAAGTCATACACCCCACGTTTATATGAACCCCCTGCATTTCCAGATGGTACAGAAATTGAAAAGACATATACAAAACCTTCTAGATTTGGTGCATCAGACATGCTTGTCGGATTAAATGTTGATAATAATGCTAACATAGATGAAGCAAAAGTCAATGCAGTGATTGGACAGACACGACAGCAATTCCTTGTTCGTATTGGTGGCATAGAAATGGGAGAAACGACATCTCATTCTGAATATTCAGATGATCAGACGCGTCTTACACTCTTACATTGGATTGATGGTGTTGCTCGTTTAGTACTGATACTAGAACTAGACGATAAGTCAGCAATACTAAGAGCTGCAAAGTCAATTGCTAGTGCTTGTATTAATGAACATATGCGTATTGCATTCAAGGAGGCTGGTGCAGTAAAGCAATTACTACGGCTTTTGAGTTGCAATGATGATGCAGTCCAGCTGGCAGCGACTCAAGCTTTGGAAAGGCTGTCTGCTAGGTAATGATAAAAATTTAGTTTGTAGCTGTAAATTGTAATCATATTTTGTAAATTGTAACCATGTTTTATGGTTTTTTGATGCAGCAACATTGTTTGCCGCGTAATTGAAGCCATGGGCGGTTTGGGTCCTCTAGTAAGTATTTTAAAATGCTCAGACATAGGTGGAGCTATTGTGGAAAAGGTAATAGTATTTCTTATATGTTAATTAATTCTGGAAAGATTTCAATTATAAAGTAGAAAACTTAATGAGGTTTTGATTATGGTATGATGTACTTCTACAGTCTCTGAACATACTTGCTCAGATATTAGATCCCAATAAAGAGATGCAAGTGAAGGTTCGTATCACATATTATGCGCTTAATTAGAACTGTAATTTTTCTGATTGATTGTCAAGTACATTGATTCTTTTCAGTTTTATGATGGACCAGTTAATAGATCTGTGAAGGAATTTGGTGGAGCCAAAAATGATGGTAGATTAAGTAGCACCGACTCTGAGCAAGTTGTATCGAAAACAAACCCAAGGTTAGCTAAAGGGATATGTGATAAGAGCCAAAAAAAAATGGGAACAGAAATGAAAAGATGAATACTGAAATTTATGTAGATAATATTGGATTATTACAACACAGGTTTTCGAGAGCCTGTCTCTCCACGATTCAAATTCTTCCTAATTTTCTCAATGTCTTCCTAATTCTGATTTGCTTCTATTTATACTACATTTACATCTGTTCCTAATTGGCACAATTAATTTGAAGGGTTATAATTGTTAGATTTGATGCTGTTTGGTTCCAAGGGTCGCATCCTTTCGGGTGGGTGTGTCTGTTCACCTAGGGTCACGCCCCCTGATTCGCATCTCCTGATCCTGCACTCCTTGGGAGTCGCTGCCTGCGGGTGTAAAACTTGGTGATGGGTGGCCTAGGCTTATCAATACCCCCGCCTAAAAGATTCACCTTGTCCTCAAGGTGATAATCTGGAAAGACCTCTTGTAATTTAGCCACAGATTCCCAACTATTTTCACTTGTAGGCAGATTCTGCCACTTAACTAAGACTTCCACGTTGCCAGTTTGTAATTCACGAATATCTAAAACAGAGTCCGGATAAACCTGTAATTCCTGATCCTCAGATAGCATAGGTGGTAAAGGTTGAGATCGGAAAGAATCACCAATGGCCTTCTTGAGGAGAGAGACATGAAATACTGGATGAATTTTACTATGAGATGGAAGATCCAATTTGTAAGCAACAACACCCACTTTTTTTAACACCTGGAAAGGACCATAAAATCGAGGCGAGAGTTTTTCATTAATCCTTTTAGCCAAGGATTTTCTCCTGTAAGGTTGCATCTTTAAGAACACCCAATCACCGATTTCATATGCTATATCTCGGCGGCGTTTGTTCGCATTTGTGCACATGACATCTTGGGACTTCAACAAATTCTCTCTCAGAGCCGCCAATAATTCATCTCGAGCAATTGTAAGTTTGTTGACTTCTTCAAGGCGGGAAGGAATGGTGGATCCCTTAAGAATGTGAGGTGGATCATGTCCATACAATGCTTTGAAAGGGGACATTTTGCTTGAAGCATTATAATTGGTATTAAACCAGAATTCTGCCCAGGGAAGACAAGAGACCCATTTCTTAGGCTTAGTACCTGTTAAGCATCGTAAATAAACCTCCAAGCATCGATTGACAACTTCAGTTTGTCCATCCGTTTGAGGATGGTATGCGAACTGAATTTTAGTTGTGTACCTGCTGCTTTAAAAAGGGCTTTTCAAAAATTACTTAAAAACAAATGATCGCGGTCTGAAACAATGGAAGACGGAAATCCATGCAATCTTACAACTTCCTGTAGAAAAACTGCAGCAACATCGATAGCGGTGTAAGGATGCCCTAATGGTATGAAGTGTGCATATTTGGTGAGCCGGTCAACCACCACCAGAATTGTATCCTTCCCCGTGGATTTGGGTAGTCCTCCAATAAAATCCATCGAAATGTCTGTCCATACTTGAGTAGGAATTGGTAATGGCTGTAGTAGTCCTGCCGGTGACAAGTTGTCGCTTTTGTTTCTTTGACAGACTTTGCAAGCTGCAACGAAATTTTTGATGTCGGTTTTCATCCCTTCCCAATAAACTAGATCGGCTATTCTTTTATAAGTCCTGAAGATTCCTGAGTGTCCTCCTACCAAAGATGAATGGAATTCTTTTAAAATGATGGGAATCCTGGAGGATGATTTTGACAACACCAATTTCTCCTTGTAAAATAGTTTCTGATCCCTTAACGTGTAGCCAACATGAGACATGAGATTGATAATTAGGTCTTGCATGATTTTTTGTAACTTGACATCTTGTTTGATCTCTTCAACCCATTCCTCGAAATCGTGAATTTTTAAGACTGTCATGGCACAATAAGAACTTCTCCTGGATAGGGCATCGGCAGCAGAGTTTTCCTTCCCTGGCTTGTACTGTATTTCAAAATCATATCCTGCTAATTTGGAAATCCATTTGTGTTGTTCCTCACCAATCATCCTCTGCTCTGTCAAGAATTTCAAACTTTTTTGGTCAGTTTTAATAATAAAATGGTTTCCCAACAAGTAGTGTCGCCATTTCTGGACTGCTTTTACGACTGCCATTAATTCGCGATCATACACTGATTTCCTCTGATTCCTTTCTGATAGGGTAGTGCTCCAAAAGGCCAGGGGTCTTCCTTCCTGCATTAGAACAACCCCTAGTCCGGTTCCGCAAGCATCCGTTTCCACCACAAAAGGCTTTGAAAAGTTGGGTACTGCTAATGTAGGCAATTTGGTCATGGCTTGCTTTAGTTGTTCGAACGCAAGTTCTGCCTCTGGACTCCATTCAAAGGCATTTTTCTTCAACAGGTTGGTCAATGGCCTTGCTATTCTTCCATAATCATGAACGAACCTCCTATAATAGCCAGTAAGGCCTAAGAATCCCCTTAAGCTAGTGACATCCTTGGGTGAAGGCCATAATGTCATTGCTTCCAACTTCTTAGGATCTGCGGATACTCCTCCAGCAGAAATAATATGTCCTAGATATTCCAAGTTATCTTGGCCAAATGAGCATTTCTTGCCGTTGATCTTCAATTCATTTTGTTGGAGTAACGTTAATACATTTTGCAGATGTTGCTTGTGTTCTTCCATAGAAGGGCTGTATATTAGGATATCATCGAAGAATACCAAAACGTATTTTCGGAGTACTGGCCTTAATACTTCATTCATTAATGATTGAAAAGACGAAGGTGCGTTAGTAAGTCCAAATGGAAGTACCATAAATTCATAATGACCTTTATGTGTTCGGAAAGCAGTTTTTGCAATATCCTCTTCCTTCATTCTGATTTGATGGTATCCGGATCTTAAATCCAGTTTTGAAAAGATGTTGGCCCCTCCTATTTCGTCTAACAACTCTTCAATCACTGGGATGGGAAATTTGTCGGGAACAATGATTTTGTTCAAGGCCCTGTAATCTACACAAAACCGCCAACTACCATCTTTCTTTCTGACTAGGATGACAGGACTAGAATAAGGACTCGTAGATGGTCGGATGATTCCTGCTTCTAACATTTCTGCAACCAATTTTTCAATTTCTGTTTTTTGATAGTGAGGATATCTGTATGGTCTGATATTCGGTATTTGGGCTCCTTCTTTGAGGTGAATGGCATGGTCTTGACGCCGATGAGGAGGAAGTCCATCTGGGGGTTCAAAGATGGAAGGGAAATCATGTAGCACATCTTTTAATTCTGACGGGATTAAATCCTTCCAATCTATCTCTGTTTGAATATGACGATAATCGATAAAGAACCCTTCTCCTTGCTGCAAAGCTTTCAACATAGAATTAAGTGAGGCGTCTTTCTTTGAAAGTTCTGGCTCTCCCTTTAAAATTACCTTTCTTCCATTGATCTTGAAGCCCAACGTCAGTTGTTCAAAGTTGACACTAATCTCTCCCAGGCTTGCTAACCATTCCATGCCTAAAACCACATCCACGCCTCCAAGGCCAAACAAGAAGAACTGTTGTTGTACTTGTACTTCTTGCACTTTCAAGGGAACCTTTCTGCATACTCCTTTACATTTGATTTTGTGACCATCTTCGACTTCTACAACGTATGATGGAGTGTCTTCCACTTCTAATTGTAATTTTTCCACCAGTTTCTTTGAAATGAAATTGTGGGTGGCACCGCAGTCTATCAATACTATGACTTTGTTATCATCAATACTTCCCCAAACCTTCAAGGATCGGCGAGAAGTAAATCCCACAATACTATTCATGGATAATTGGGGCGTTTCTCCAAATTCGGGTTCGGGCTCCTCTTCAGAGTTTTCAACATCCTCTTCATCTGTTACTAACATTATCCGAAGTTGTTTATTTCTACATACATGAGAAGTGCTCCATTTTTCTTCACAACGAAAACATTCTCCTTTCTTCCTCTTCTCTTGAAGTTCTGCTTCGGTTAACCGTTGAAATCCTCTGGGTCGGTTGTTGTTCTCTGGTTTGTTCACCGATACACTTCCCGCAAAAGAATTAGAAGGGCCATTACTTTTTCCTCCACCTTTCTGACCAACACCATAAGTAATAGTCTTTGAATAGGATGGGCTTCAATACGAGTTGTTAACTTTTGAATTTGAGTTAGAAGGAGCATTCGGTCCCACCTTCCAAATTGCTCTATTTTTTTGTTCGATCGTTAATGCCTTCTTGACCATGATTGAAAAAGTGGGTGGTTCGTAGAGTTTAATTTCTGCCCCAATGTCTTCCTTTAATCCGTTCGCAAAAATGTCCTTTAAATGTTCTTCATCGATAGTTTTCAGCATACCTGCAAACTTTTCGAATTGTTCAACGTACTCTTCCACCGTTTCTTCTTGTTTAAGTGCAAGGAGGGCAGCAAAAGGGTTGAGAGTGGCTGAAGTTTGGAACCTTTCAAGAATGGCAAGTTTGAAATCTTCCCATCCAATATCAGAATTGCAATTTTCCCACCATTGGAACCAAGATAGTGCCTTTCCCTCTAGAGCCACCATAACTGCCTGAATTTTCTCTTCTTCTAGGATGTCTCTCATTTGAAAGAAGCGTTCCAATTTATTTATCCAGCCATAAGCATCAGATTCTCCATCATATATGGGGATTGCCAATTTTCTCCATCGTTCTGTTTTTCTTTCTCCGGTGTGGCTGTTTACCGTGAAAAATGGTAAACAACCGTTGATCTTCCAAAAGGTATCTTATTTGGTGACTCGCAGGATCGATCAGATTGATCCTAAGACATGACTGATTTTTATCGTTTAAATGCTTTAAAATAGAGAGTTTCGACTAATCCTAATGGTGATTAACGCAAGTAAGGTAGAGACACTTTAAGTAAATTGCATGGAGAAAAGCTTGATAAAGTAAATAAAAGCATTAAAGACTTGTTAAATAAATGACTTCGACTGAGATAAATAAGTGAAAGCGATAAATTGCTTGAATGTAAAAGATTTCGATTAAGGTAAATGGTGTTTCACACATACATTCTCAATGATTCTTTCTCTCACGCTGGGTACTTGAATCTAAATGAGTGACTTGTATACAATGATGAACACCCTTAATAACTACGTGAACACTTAGTATTTATACTAAAAATCCTAAGTAACTGCTGGGCAGTTACATCGCTTCGTGGTGACACCACATGGCACGTTCACAACCCTCGACGCCTACTTCCACGCCACGTTGCGCTTGGTAACTGCTGGGAACCGTTTTCCCTCCAACAATTCGAAATTCAAACCGTTCGATCTTGGGTATCAGGGACCTTGGTCGAAAGGTTGCTCCTTCGACGTTGAAAACAACATGATTCCAACTTAGAGAAATTTCTCTAAGTATCTTGTCATTCTTTGATAAGCATTCGATGTGATCAGCTGATCGAAGCCTTCTTGTGTAGGAAACTCTTCTAACTCATAATTAATGATCTATATGATAATAGAACGTGGGTGTCGAATTTAGGAGCCAACAGTGGCCCTTGGTTGAACGTTCTCCATTGATGGAACCTTTGGGTGTGCCATCTTCTGAATGCTTGGACAAATTTTCCACCATGGCTTCTAGACGTGCAAAGCGTGTTTCGAATTGTTGTCGTTCTACCTCTCGGTTTTGTCGGTCCGCCATCAACATTTCTAAAATTCTCTCCATTGTGTCTGGGTTTTCGGGATTAGATCGAGTTGTCACCATTGTTGGAAGCAAAGCACCTGGACGGTGCTCTGATACCAATTGATAAGAGCAAAAAAAAATGGGAACAGAAATGAAAAGATGAATACTGAAATTTATGTAGATAATATTGAATTATTACAACACAGGTTTTCGAGAGCCTGTCTCTCCACGATTTAAATTCTTCCTAATTTTCTCAATGTCTTCCTAATTCTGATTTGCTTCTATTTATACTACATTTACATCTGTTCCTAATTGGCACAATTAATTTGAAGGGTTATAATTGTTAGATTTGATGCTGTTTGGTTCCAAGGGTCGCATCCTTTCGGGTGGGTGTGTCTGTTCACCAAGGGTCACGCCCCCTGATTCGCATCTCCTGATCCTGCACTCCTTGGGAGTCGCTGCCTGCGGGTGTAAAACTTGGTGATGGGTGGCCTAGGCTTATCAATATGAACCAGAGTTTCTAAAAGGGTTTAGGATTTTTTGTTGAAATTCGACTATATAGAGTTAGAAAATTGTCAAGTACATTGTATTTGATTGAGCAACATGTGATATGTGCTCTGCAAAGCTTAGTTAACATTGGCTTATGTTTTATTCTATTTGAAAAATCATTCAGGATCGATATACTGGACTCGATTTTCACTGCACGCCTTGTTGAGATTTTAAAGTCCTCTTCACCCAGTTTACAAGAAAAGGCTGCATCTGTTCTAGAGTTTGTGGCATTGACTGACCCAACACTGACTTCGATTATATACGTGGATATTGAAAATGGCCTCAGTTCTACTTTTCAGCAAAATTTCTTGAAAATTTCGGGTAAAAAGTTTCTGCTCTTTAATCTGGGGCTTATTAACATTTTTGTTTTAGGATATAGTATGAAAATGATTACAAAGATTATCATGTGATTCAACTTGAGTGTGACTTTTGATAGTGGAAAAAGGTTTTTATTTTTAGTTGTTATTCTTTAGCACTATTTATATTGCACAAACCTTCATTTTCTTCTTTAAATAAAAAATGTGACTCATAATTTGTCAAGCCTATGCAGCAGACACGGAATGTGATGCGGAAGATCAGTTTTCAGCGGCATATGCTATTAAACTAGAAGAAGCTGGCCTTGCAATATCTGCAGCTTCCCGGTTACTGACAAGACTGCTTGACTCTCAGCAGTTTCGCAACAAAATAAATTTGTCCAGTTTCATTGACATGCTCCGCAAAATTCTCAAGTCCAATATTCCTCTTCGCAGCAAAGATTGGGTAGCTGCTTGCCTAGTTAAACTAAGTTCTCTCTCTGGTCACGACACGAGTTCTAATCCAATCAATGTTGAAGTTACACTTTATGAGACTATTCCAAGACTTGTAGAACAGATCAAAACATCATCCTCTTTAGAAGCTCAGGAAAATGCTGTTGTCGAACTAAATAGAATAGTATCTGAAGGGGTGGTAGATTCCACAGGAGCTATTATTTCTCTAGGGGCGGTGAATCCGCTGGTGAAGCTGATTGAAGAAGGAAGTGAAATAGGTGTTGAAGCAAGCTTGACAATACTGTATAATCTGAGTATGGACAGTGAGAACCATGCAGCACTTGTAGCTGCTGGAGCCGTCCCTTCCTTAAGAAGAATTGTTCTTTCAGAAAAACCGCAGTGGCAAAGGGCACTTCATTTGCTCAGGAGTTTGCAGATATGACGAGTCCAAGGCAGAAATCTTTAAACAATTCTTATGCTCTGCTTTATTATGAGTTTAGAGGAAAATATTTAGTCACTATAAAACTTAAATGTATTTAGATTCTACTAATGCATTATTGGTTTTGTATCTTAGATTTGGACCAATTGAAATCAAACTCTACATGGGGTATGGTTATGATTGTTGAAATTCTGCCTTTATTGTGGTCCGTCTCTGCCCGCCTAATTGCGGCATTTGGGTTGTCTTCATTTCAGTATCCAACACCTTCGTTGTGTTGGATATGAAGAGGTGAATTTAGTTTCACTGCTTAGAGATATGGTCTTTGTAGTGTTTATAAAGTTTGGGCAACACTCACCTCACAAACCGATTTTGTGAGGTTGAGTTTGAATGATATGTGATCTGAACTTGACAGATTCTAAAATTGGTTGTTGTTAAAGATGAGATGTTTTGTTGAGTATGCACATGTATGGCAGAATATATTTTGTATGTCGAAAGTCTAAAGAGCAAGTCACACCTTTCATACCTTTGTTATGTGATAAACAAAAGCAATTGTATGTGAGCTACATCAATAAATATTTTACAATATTTGAGATTTAATTAATACAAGTTCGATCAAATCAGTGAAGTGACCGTACAATCTCCCAAAAGATTGAAATTCAAAAAATGTCATGGTATTAAATACAAATGTATGCAATGTTCCTTTGAACTTTGAGTAGTTATAACTATTCGATCTACAAAAAGCAACTGATCAATGTTCACAAGAGGAGGTCATCAAGAAAAGGGGTACTGAATGGTAACTTGATGGCTCCAGATGCTATTAGAAATGCTAAAACCCAAATCGGCATCATCCATTGAAACGCGAACACCAGAATTCCTTTTCCTGAAACAATTTAAATCACTGAATAAATAAGAAAGGACTATTTCAAATTCAACATTATTCAAAAAATGATAAAATGTCTAAACTTCTAATTCCTTTTTCATAAATCGTATTAGTGACAGGAACCCCCTTAGAGAACCAGAAGACTCATGAAAATAGAATATCTCGGTGTGAGACTTGTTACTCACACTTGATATTCCAGCACAAAAATTCACCAGTAGCCACTTACGAAACATACTCCCTATTGCTGAGGGAGAAGCAATTGATCATCATTGGGTGGCTAGCTTGGATTTGCAGCATGTAGTGTTTGAAGTTGAACTAGATAGCCAAAGAGTTCTAAATTCTTTTCATATCATGCTACAATCCTTGTTAAAAGAGACAAAGAAAACACAAAAAAAGTCGTTGCCAATTGTTACTTACTAGTCTTAGTGGAGCGAAATCTGGTCTCTCCATTTTCACCAAGCCACTCTCCTGTTTCCCTCAACTTTTTCTGCACCACCCCTTCAAATGCTTGTCCCAAGAACAAATCCATTGTAGTCTTCTTTACATCTGAATCTTTCTCCTTTCTATAAATCACACATAGAAGTCAAAATCCTGAATGAAATTGGAGCATTTTAAACAAAATTGATTAAAAAAATCATCCAAATTGTGAGAAAGAAAGTGGCATGTATTTACTCGAGGTCAGGCTCTTCGTCTCTGAAACTTCCAGCACCAAGGGCACGTTCAATTTGCATAATTGAAGGCTGTGGAGGTCGACGGCGAAGTTTGCTTGGTGGTGAAGAAGTAGTGGAGTTTTTGGAGCCTAGTGAAAGTTTTTGATTTTGGGGAAGATTGGTTTGTTGAGGTGAAGAAGATGATGAAGAAGAAGAGTCTGAGTTTTGGGGAAGGGTGGCATTAGTAACAACCATGGGTTTGGTTATAGAAAGGTTGCTTAATGAACCAAACATTGCAGAGTGTTTCGGGGAGGATAAGATAACTGCCACAAAATATCTTAAGTTTGTTATAAAAATGTTTTCCTTTTTTTCTTTTCAAAACAGTTTTTTTAGCTTAAACTAGTTTTTTTTTTAATTGTGGATGCAAATTTTTAAAAGTTATATACTTCTTTATAAGAAAAATTAAGCATGACAACATAGTGGATCAGAGATAATTTTTATCTCCTTCAAATCTAATTCAAATTCTCAAATAATTTATGTATTCCGTCTCAAATCCAAATAAAAATAGAAAATTAAAATTCAAACCCGTTTTAAACACGATTGAGTTCGGATATCTTCGTCCCGTCACTATCCATTTAGTAAAATTATTTTTTTAATAGTACTATTTATTTTTTCTAAAATCAAATTACATTATAAATAATAATAATCTTAAAAAATTTCATACATGCATTTCAAATATTTTAAATAATAAATACAAATTAAAATTTCAAAACATTGACCACGTCTTTAATATTCTAAATTATCAAAAATAAATAATAATTTACCTAATAAAATAAACAGGACGAGTCAAAGTGAGTATTAATATCCTCATTATCCGACCCATCGTCATATTTTGTAATCGAAGAAAACTCAAACTCAAACTCAAATCTAATTAAAATAGATTTTCCTGTCAATTTTGAAATGAGTTCGAATGAGTATCCGCAGATATAATTTTATTGCCATACCTATATATAAACAAAGAAGAAATACAAAAATATATAAAAGACAAAATAACTCAAAAACAACCTTTAAGCATTTATATTAATAAATTATTAAAATAATAAAAATGATTTTTTGTTATATTTTTTTCAAAATAAAACCTATAACAACAAACATATTCACATTCATAATTTATTAAAAATTTAAACAATTACAATTAATTTTACCAAATAATAATATCATATATAAATAATATAAAAATATAATGTTCTTTTTGATAAATAAATAAAAGAATAGATTTAAGTGCAACTTATTATTAGTTTTTTTACAATGATTTTAATTAAGAGTTTAAAAACCCAAATTGTCACCTCTTAAAAGTTTAAAACCCTAGTCTAACATTTGGTTCAACTTATTTTCTCTGCCACCGCACGAATACACATCGGTTCAAATTGCTGCAATTGCCACCGAACTCAGCACTGCTACGTCGCTTCTTCAACAACTTTTTGTCGAATTTCAGCTTAAATGGCTGGCAGAGGATATGGACGAGGACGAGGACGCGGCGGATTTCAAAGTTATGCACGACCAGAGCCATTTGTACTTTTTCCCGAGGTAACATATTGTGCATCTTTTCCGAGTATGTATTTCTATTCAAACTTCATAATCAACTCTTTGCTGCTTAATGCTCGTCTTTAACAATCTGATGTTACAGGATATTAATTTGCCTGATGCAAAACTCGGCGAAAATGTTGCTAGTATGAAACATTTGATTAAATGGGATTTGAGTTTTGATAGTTATTTTAAAGCGGCTCCTTATCTCTTGGATGACACCGAATCAAAAGGTTCGAATTCAATTGCCTTTACATGATACATATTGGCAGATTGTCATTACAAAATCTGAGATTTCCAATACATATTGTTTCATTGTCAGGGCGCAAAAGGATGCACGTAGAAAGATTTTCTGACAAGAAGAAGATCGCGTTCACTCGTGATTCGCTGTCTCAGGTTTTATATTACGACGAATTTGTTAAGGAGTTGGTTCCAGGTGTGAATAATGGAATAGGCTTTTAAGGCTGTGGTTATGTTTTTATTTTCTTGTAGAAAAATGCTTCTACTTTTTGTTATGCATTTGCGGTTCCTGGTAACAAGTAATTTAGTCCGAAAGTTGTAAATTTCAGGTAAATCTAAGCAGATGCTGAGCCGGAAAAAGTTTCGATGGAACCCTGAAGCTGGTGATTTCTTATGAACTTTTTCTTTTTATTTTATCAATCTATTAATTATCTGTAAATATTAGTCTAATTATGATATGAATCTCTGTTTTACTCATAATAATGATGAAGCCTTGTTATTTTTACTTTATACTGATTAAGATATTTGTGTGGCAGATGCGAAAAAACTGGCATTCTTTGAAGAACTAGAGAAAAAGTTCCTGGTAGAGAACCTATGCCTACAATTCTTTCCTTTATTTTTTCTTGTTAACAAGGCAGGGTTAACTCATTAGTTTTAGCAGGAAATATTTTCTTGTTTGATTTACATTGTTGGCTTACCTACATTTTATCTAGTGAAATTCTATGTTGACGATTCTTCACATTTAGGCGGAAGAGGGTAAAGATAAAAAGAAGAAAAAAGAAGAAAGTGAAGATGAAGATGAAAATGAAGAGGGAAAAGAGTCGGAAGACGATTTTAACGATGGTGATTATAATCAGGTTCCATTCTATCCTCTACTTTGATGTGTTAATTTTGCCATTCTTGAAATTATGAAAAGAATATGTTGCAATTGTTAGTTAGGCTCACCCAGTAAAATTTTCAATTTGAAGTTCTTAGAATATAAGAAAATATTTCATAATAGATTTTATGAAGAAGCCGTCCAAAATGGAACAATTTAGCGACACCCTATTCAAATTGTAAATCTTATCGAAAATTTAAATATTTAGATACATAGTTTGTAGACTATGAAGGCATCATAATATATTAATATTTGTCAGAATGACAATAAGTTTTCCAACACAAGATTTTATAGAAATGAATCATGTGCATGTGCATATCATGTAAAATTCCAATCTCGTCGCAGTGTAGATTATATTCATTCCCAATGCTACAGGCCATGCTGCAAACTGGCAGTATTGCTTGCAACAAACATTTCATAAATAGGCATATGATGAGAAAATGAGATTGAAGTTAAAGAGAGAACTGTACAATAGAGAATTGCAGGAATTTCAATTTGGGTTTCTCAAATTCAAAACCAGAGAAAGATTAAATTACCCCAAACAGTATGCCCTTAAGTTCAAACTCGAAGTTTGAGCAAAACTGCATCTGGACTGTTTAGAGATAAAATTGGTGGATCAATAAACATCTCAAAAACGTCTCTAAATGTGAAAATGATCCCCTACAGAGTGGCTATAGATCAATATATTGTATTAATTGTAAGTGAAATAGTGAACTTCCTCATCTATAAGCATGATATTCATAGTGCCAGGAAAAGTAAATGGGGCATTACACATCTCAAATGTTATGTTTATTACTTCTAGGAGAGCACCTTCATAAAAGAAAAAGCAAACTAAAATCATAAAAGAAGATACCTTCACATAGGAGATTCTTACACGCCAAATGAAATTTCCCTATAGGTTATTCAGTCAAATATCGTAACATACTGTATAGCCATGCTTTGTGTGCTTTCTTTGAAAGTTTACAAGTTGGGTCTATATGAAACTTGACATTTGTGAGACTCTTGAATGGTTTAATCTAATTTTTGTTGCTCTGACATTTCTTCCCTTAGTGTAGACTATATTAAACTTGGCATTTGTTAAGGCATATACATTACACATTCTTCCTTTACCATAAGGTTATTATAAACTTATTTCTGCATTCAATGAAAATTGTTTGTAAAATTGAATTTTAGAAGATGATTAATTTGATGTTGGTGTAAAAGGTAGTAAGACATCCTAATTTGTCAACAGTTTGGTGCTGATGGTGGTAGTTTGACATTTGAAGAGCTATTTCTCCTCTTTTTTTTTTGTGGACGTAGTTTTATTTATTCTCCGATACGAAACTTACATTTGCTATGTATTGTTTTTGTTTTTTGTGATAATAGGACTAACTAAATTAAAATTTTGCAGAATGTAGATTATGATGACGATGACGATGATTTTAATGATGTAGAGGCTGGGAACGGTATAATCACTTTACTGGTTCAATGCAGTTTTCATTCATCTTGTCATCGCAATCATAATTTTAACTGTAGCATGTTTTACTGTGTAATACATATATATTTTTGATTTATTGCAGATGAAGATGTCTATTAAGATATTATGGAGAATGATCGTTTGCTCGTCCTGTGGCTGCTTCCATACTAGCATGGACTATTGCTAGGCCTTTACCTGGCTGCTATATACTAATCACACCAGTGTCTGTTTTCCTGTAAATCCTTTATTTAACTTTCTGCTTGGATAGAAGAAATGTAGTTGAGTAGTTTCATAGTAAATTTTGGGTTTGCTGATAGAGAAGTTAAATAAGGTTAGTTTTTATCATTTGCATATGTAAACTTAAAATTTAATTTCATATAGTTTTTTTATGTCTTGTAGACAGAAGTTGTTCAACTAGTATAATTGGGGTATTTTGTGGTTAAAACATCAAATAGGAGTAAGATTTTTTTAAAGAAAATTGGATCTATAAATCTATGGTAGTAATTTAATTTTTATTTATTTCTTTATAAGCACTATTTTATATCAATGGTAAAGTTTATGCTCGGCATTTGTAAGTGTTGGTTGTTCAATATTAAGTCAAATTTAGAGTGCGAAAACCATTACGACCATGTTGAGAATAAGAATAAAATGCATCTTAGTGCATAATACAATTATCTTATGGCCATGTTGAGAAAACTACCTGTTCTTTGAGACTGTGCCTTAGCGATGAACACCTGACTTAATATGCTTGATCATAGTTACAGAGAAGTGTTCTTTGAACTTAATTTACGTTAGTGAATATATATTTGAATATGGAGAGAAAATTGAGTGGAGCTTAGGGCTGTTTATGGTAAAGGTCGGTAAGAAAACTAAATTGAATCGAACCATTATAAAAATTTACTTGAATCAAACTGTTTATGGTTAATGATGGTTATTGTCTCAGTAAACCATGTCTTAAATAATAATTACATGATAAATACAATATTAATTTGGTACATGATACATTAATGTATACGTTTGAAATTGGACTAGATAATTTTTTTTACAAATACAATAAGTCTAATTTAATTGCATCATCTAAATGGTTTAGCACATTGAAAATAAGCTTCCCCGGATCTTCAGTGCCAAGTCCAAAGCCGCAAATTCAACTCAAACACATGCTTATCTACAAAATAATATTAATACCAATGTGGAGATAAGCTACTAATCTAAGTGGATCTCCGATCTAAACCACTTTATCTCTCATTACTCTTCTATTCAGTACAATTGCACAATTCATCAAGGTAACTCATATAACTCAAACCTGACTATTAGGATAATCACTTATATTCTATAGAATATATAGATACATCAATATCAATAACCATATATTCATTGATAACTTACAACTATTTAGGGTCATCCCCCATTCATGAATTTAACTTATCTGATTACAGGATAAATTACCATATCCACCAATTGAAATATTAGAATAAATCACATATTTCTCTACTTGTTCGACCGGAGTCAAATCACATATTCATAGTGCCGGCTCAACACTTGTCGAAGTCCGAGGCAAATTTGAAAAAAAATATTTATAAATTTTTTAATTAAAATTATCATAATCTTACTTAAATATATTTTAAAAATATTTTTAATATAAAAAATGGTGTGTTATAATTAATTTCATTTTTCTTCTATTTAAAACAATAATAAAGTTAATTCATTTAATATTTCACGAAATTGATTTAAAGAGTCAATTATTTTCTTTTAAACTTTTCATTTCAAATTTATAAGTTAATAATACTATAAATAAAAAAATAATAAATATGTCACAAGAGAAACAAATAAAAAATTGAATAAGAAAATGTTAGAACAAATTAACTATATGCCGGAAAACATTAAGATTCACATAATAGTCAGTCACTGTAACTAAATTAAATAGATTGATGTAGTTTTTCATTAGTTATTTTCTATTTTAATAGTAAAATACAAGACACATACTAGTAATTACCAATAGTATAAGAATGCATTAAAGTTTGGAGACCTATACCAGATAGGAAAATAAACTAGAGGTCTTAGACATATGCCTATATGGCCTTACCCTAGGATTGAGTCTGATTTATGTACTAATTTATTATGATAAATCACATATCACCGTGATAGATGTTAGGTCAAATCACATGTTTTAAGACTAGATCATAGAATAAATCTCATATTTATATGACTAGAAGATAAATCACATATCCTCCCTTAGATAAATCACATATCCTTCATTGGAATATTCGAATAAATCACATTTTTTTTATCAGAATTGTCGGGATAAATTTGCATATCATTCGGTTAAGTTGTCAGGATACGTCACATATCCACATGGCTGAATCATTAGGGTAAATCACATATCCTTCCATAGATAATTTACACACCCGTAATTGGAAATATCAGAATAAATCACAAATTCTTCTATCAGAACCATCAAAATACATAATATATCATTCAATCAGATCAACTAAACACTAGCATGTCAATGATTGTAATCTACATTCACACGAGACATCTCCACATGTTCACTACGATATATCTGATGGCATCTTGCGAACGTTACTCCACTATCTTCTTCATCCATATAATATATCAACCATAACATAGATTCCATTATTGCTTCAAACATTCCCATCACTACCTCCTTAAGGTACTTACCCTAGTCATCCTAAGATGTTATCACCTTATATCGCTATGTATCTCAAGTGACCACTTAAGGTATCTACCATACTAGACAAGTCTTAACCAACTCCCTAGTTGTACTTAGTAATTTACGATTCCTCAAACCTAAGTTATCAAACTCTTGTATAGAATTATTTGCATTCATTCCTAATGAAATCTATGCCTATAATCACATCATTAATGCTCGTGATCGTTAACTACTTCAAGATAGGGCTTAGAACATGAAAAGCAGGAGTTCATGCTCATTTTTGGAGACACTACGACTTGGCCATAGTGTCCACTACGACCGTAACGGCCCCAAGTATGCCATGTATTTACTTATTTCCCCTAGTACTAAAAATAGGGGGTGCTACGACTAGGCCGTAGTTTGCACTACGGCCGTAGCAGGCCTAGATTGCCCCAAAATCCACCTTGTTCTTCTCTTAGTACAAAAAAAATATAATATTACGACCTAATTGTGGTGTGCACTACGACTATAGCATGCCCAAAATCACTCGAAGTTTTCTTCAATCTTACACTTAAATTCCAACTCTTAACTTTTTTCTCACTATTTTATCCATCATGTAGCATACTAGGAGAACTCATGATTTCATTATCACAAAAATTGGTACCATGCACATCACTTAAACAATTAAAACCTAGGAACTTATCATGCCTTCATCATATCCCAACTTAAGGTTCATACGATGGGCGATGATGAATGAGGATAATTAGGATGATGGTTAGATTCCATTTTCTCTAGCCACATGCAAGATCATCTTTAAGCTCATAAATTATCATCATCGATCTTGGAGGCCAAAAGCTTCATCTTCTAAGTTAATGGCCTTGATCATGCAATGAAGATGAAAATTATGGTTAAAGGGGTGAATATGGGATAAGAGGATGTTGATGAACTATGAGCATTTACCTTCTTGAGCTAGAGGGTGAAATGGGTTGGAACTCCATTGTTCTTCTTCAAGGGTTGACCTTGTGAATGAGATGAGACGGTGCTGGACTTGATAACTCTTCTTTCTTTACCTTTGTTTCAATGTATCCTTCATTTCTCTTTAGAAAGTGAAAATTCTAGTTTTTCTCCCAAGGATCAAATATAAATACACTTCCAAGACCTAAAATACCATTTTACCCTTTACTTGGTCTAGGGAGATCTACCAATACCCTTAATTCCAAACCCTTGGTTTAAACACTTAATCATTTTGTTAAACCTAATTGCATCCTTATTTGGCTTGAAATACCGTGTGACTTAATTAGAAATGGCTAAATTTCCTTTCATAGTAAAATGACCATTTACCCCTAACCTCTTATTTACATTAATCTATGATATAACTGGTCTTAATCATTAGTCTAGACTGGGATATCACAATCCCTCCCTTAAAATAATTTTGTCGCCAAAATTTGCATATCACTTGAGCCCCTTATAAAACTTTCTTGACTTGATGCCAGTTTACACTCCTGCTTCACTAACTCGAGTTCCCTTAGCTTGGTTCCCAAGCTTTACAGTTACCATCATCTTAATTATCACCGATAATGGTTTTCCCCCTTAGCCAATAGGCTGAAATTTAACATTCTTCACCATTATCCTACAAATATTACGCTCATTCAGCCATCTATCACTTAACTTAATGGTAGGCCTCTATAAGCTTCACACTAGGATCTCTAAAAATTTAAAACTTCACATGAAGGCATCTGCCATCATTCTGAAGTACACCACATCCATATTTAAGGTGATTTAAACATGTTATCCACTTCTACTATTAGTGTCCAACTAATTCCCGTCATGGAATTTGTAATGTTCCCTTTAGATGGTGAAGAAGATATCTCTCATCTACCAAATATGATTTTGATGAAGACAAAGATTGATGAAAACTATCAAAACAGAAAGAGCATAAAAAGACTCATGATGAATGCTTGCCAATTATGAAGTTTAAATAAAATTGTTTGATTAAGTTCAAAGATTGATAAAGACTATAGTGATCAAAGAAGATATATTGTTGGACAAGCTTTGAACTATGTGCAAGATAATCAAGCTAAGAATCAAGATCAATGACCGTTAATCAAGGTTTGTTGCAATTCATAATATATCTCTTAAAATGATAAAAAAAATCATACCAATCTTCATTTATAAAAGCTATAAACATGATGCATGAAAATCATTGAAACCAAACCATCAAAAGCTGATTTATGCACTTCTAAAATCAGGTAATCAGTTACATGATTTAAGTAACCAGTTACCAATTATTGTCTCATATTTTGAACGTTAGAAAAGTTGATTTCTGCAATTTTTAAATCAGGTAACCAATTACTGATTTAAGGAACAGTCTATATGGTCATTTTGTTTGAGTTTTTGTGAATGTTACAGAGGTGGTAACCAGTTACACCTTTTACGTAACCGGTTACACACTGCAAAAATGTGTCTTTTCATGAACCATTTTTATTACAAACCATTGCAAAAACCTTCATGGAGATGCTAGAAACTTATGCATCTAT